TGGGCGGTGACCCCCGCTGTGGGCGGTGCCTCCCGCTGTGGGCGGTGACCCCCGCTGTGGGCGGTGCCTCCCGCTGTGGGCGGTGCCTCCCATGGGCTTCTGAGTGGCCAGTTGCATTGTCGCGCTCCTGCCATCAGGACAGGCTGTCCTCTCAAACCGTGAACCCAGACAGCCCTCCCCAAGTGGCTTTTCTCAGTGGGTTTTGGTTGTTTTGAGACAGGGTTTCTCTGTGTAACTGCTCAGATCTGTAGACCAGTCTGGCCTCGAACTCACAAAGATTGTTCTTCCCAGTGTTGGGATTAAAGGTGTGGGCCACCACGACCGGGCTTTGTTTTGTAACTCATTTTTCGTTTGTTTTGTTTTTTGAGACAAGGTTTCTCTGTGTAGCCCTGCCTGTCCTGGAAAGCAGATTCACTGGCCTTTGCCTCCCGAGTGGAGCGCTGGGATCACAGGTGTCTAATTTCTGTAACTAACACAAGCGTGTATTCCCAGCGCCCTAGAGTCACCCACCAGACTCCTTCCTGCGCCCCCACCTCTGGTGGCACTGGGCCTGGACACCAAGCTTTTGACACTAAGGCACAGCATTTCTGTACGCGGGGGTTCTCTACTTGAATTGAGGTGCCCAGAGGAGACCTCTGCTTCTCTCTGGGTGCTTTGGCCTGGTGGCCACTCTTCAGATTTTTTACTTGCTAGCCCTTACAACTGACTCCGTGCCTTAGAACCTCTCTCTCTCACACACACAACCTCTAATCACTTCCAGTTATCCTACAGGATGTTTTTTTTTTTTTTTTTTGACAGAACCCTAGTTACATCTAGTTAAAAGGGCTTAGCTCAAAGCCCTTTGGCCCCCTTTTCGACACATCCTTCTCATGACCCATCTGTGGCCTAAACCGTGTTACTCCTAATTTTGCTTAGTGTTTAGCAAGCATATTCCCAGGACTGTGAAATCCAAACACGTATGGCACCAGGTCAGAAACTACTGTGGAAGAAAACCCCAAGCAATTCACCCTTCCAATGACTTCACGAAGCTTTCAGAGCGTGCGGGAAGGGCCGCCATTCTGACTTTCACGTTGGCAGAGCTGATCCTGCAAACCTTGCCTGGCTCCAGGATGGGCCAGGAGGAACCTTCACCCGGTCAGGTGTGAGTTCGTGCAAAACTCTGAGGAGCAGTGGCTGCTGTGGGTCTGACCTGTTAACCCCTTCTTCCTTGGGCTCCTGCTGTGACCTCTGGCAAGAGATGTATGGCCAGGACACAGGACGAGTTACAGCAGTTGATGGTGGCCTGGGCTATGGAGCACGAGGGAACCCTAAAGCAAACTTCTGCAGATTTGTTACTTGGTTTTCAGGTCATCAGTCGCAGGTGGGAAAAAAATAGCAAATCCTGGGTGAAAGCCAGAACAAACGGGGGAAAAGCTGGAGCAGAGGGCAGGTTCTAGTGAGGGTTTGGTGAGGATATAGGGACCTCTACCCAAGTTCATGATACCAACTGCCCACACATAGAACGGAGACAGCTGGATTGTCAAGGTGAGCGAAAGTCCAGCCGTGACCTTGGGAATCCAACCTGTCACTGGAAACCTGGGACAGTTTTCACCCTGGCCAGCCTCCCGCTCTGTGGCGGCGGGACAGCAGAGGCACTGTGGGCTGCAAAAACACTTCGATCACGACCTTGTCCATCTGTGAGCTGAACGGCCTTGTTGGATTTATTTGATTTCTCAGCTGGGTGGTGGTGGTGTTCACACCTTTAATCCCAGCACTCAGAGGCAGGAGGATCTCTGCAGACCTGCTTGGTCTACACATCGAGTTCCAGGACAGTCGGGGCTACACAGAGAAACCCTGTCTCAGAAAAAAAAACCGAGAAGTAAACAAAAACCAAAATTTATTTGGCTTCTCCACTAGGGCTGCTTCTTGCTTCTTGTGCCTGTTTTTAGGGTTATGTATCTGTTTGTCTTCGAGACAGGGTCTCACTACACAGTCCTCACACAGATCCTCTGCACTCTGCTCCTGAGTGTTCACATTAAAGGTGTGTGTCATGCCTGTGTGCCTGTGTGTGCGTGTGTGTGGTGTGTTCACAGGCCACACCCATACGTGGACCTCAGCGGACAACTCTCGTTTCTATCTCCTCTCTCACCCTGCAAATGTGTATACAAACGGAGCCACCTCCCTGCCACTCAGAAGTCTTCAGCAGGCCTTTGCTCATATTAACTGAACGGTATGACTGCTGCCCTTTGAGGGCCTTTGTTTAGAGGCCTGCACAAGGCCTACAGGAGTCCTTTCTACTCAGCAGCCTACAGACGGCCGTCGAGGGCCCGGACGGCCGAGCACAGAGCCTCCGGGGCCTCCGTGCAGGGTCTCCAGCTGTCCTTCCAGCTACTTGCTATCTGGATCCCGCAGCCCGGAGCTACAGACAGGCACAACTGGCCTGTTGGAACACAGTCCAGGAACGGAGCTCTGTGAGGGAATTTCTGAGCTGTGAGAAAGCGCTAAGAAAACAAGAGTCTCGTGAGCTCGGAATTGTTCATGTGTGTCACGGGGCCTCCCAGGTCTATCCGACAGAAGGGAGTTTACTCCAGACTCTTAGTGACTGTTATCAGTGCACACGCCTCTGTGGAAAACGTTTTGGCCCGGTGCAGCTTGTCCTTGTGTGTGCAGCTAAACTCACAAGAACCTTACTCAGGTGACCACCGTCAGCCCTCAGTCTGATGCTCTCAATGAAGTTGGCTATCACAGTCTGTTTTTAGGCTCCACTCTCAGGCCCACCCACCAGTAAACACAGCGTGCTCTGACAGGTCCAGGGAAGCACTGACCACTTTCCGCAGTCTCTTATGTACCTGAGAACTCACAATCACTTCGGTCTAGATGAGGGTTGTCAAGCTGGGGCATCTCTTCTGTTGCCTTCGAGGGTCAGTGGCCATGACTAACCAGGATCAAGACCCTGTGGTAAACAGGGTCAAGATGCTACAAGACAGCACAGCAGGCCCCAGAAGACCTAACATGTCGGTGAGTGTGTATTCACAGAGCACACACAGGGGACTGCCCTGTACTCTGGCCAAGCCACGGGAAGCCATTACAAGTGGAGAGCAGACGGTACCAGGGAAGCTCTGTGAATAAAACTTTAATAATGTACAGCAGAAACTGGACAGGCTCGTTCTTATATTAAAACAAAATTTCCTATATTACAACATATTTACATTTGCATACTGAAGAGGTAAAGTGTCTAAGTGGCTATTTTACAGTCCTTTCTAATAAATTGTACAAAAACCAAACAGAAGTACCGAGAATACCGCTCAGGGGCCTTGGCGGCGGCTGAAGAACGGGCTTGGACTTGGTCTGTGAATCCAGAATCCAGAGGTGCAGGCTGCCCTGGGGGTCAGGGAAGCCTCAGGGCGCCAAACCACAGCTTCAGCCTAATGCAGAGTGGTGCAATGGGAGTGGCATTTCCCCAAACCTGCTCAAGTCTCCTGAGGCGGACGAGCTGGACTATCTGAGGGCAGACGGGCCCGTAGGAGCAGTCCAGCGGCATGGGGGTCATTGCGGGGTGTCTGCTGGCACGTAACATCACCACCTGTAACCGTGACAACTCGCTGCAGGGGTAGGTCAGCAGGGTGGGTACAGAGGCTCCCAACGGCACAGCTGGGACTCAAGGGAAACTGTTCAACGGCCAGTAAATTGGCCCAAAGAATTAAAGGAAGATCCCTTTAATGCAAGGGAAGAAGTTATACACCAGGAAATAAATAGAAAGGCTAGAACACGGGAGACCAAGGCAGGAGGCGGCTGGAAGCTGGCCTGCATTCTATCACAATGAACGCACTCCACCTGGGTCTCTCAACTCCAGTCTCACTGCTCACCACCACTGTCTTTCCAGGCGGGAAACAGGCTCCCCTCCCTTTCCTCAGTGGTCTTACTTAAGAATGGTGATTCTAGCTCACAAAGGCTCTGAGGACCAGCGTGAGCACTTCTGGTCTCAAGGTGGGCCCTGGCCATTCGCTCGATTCAGCTCTTCTTTGTATGCTCCAGGGGCAGTGCGCAGGCCTGTCTCACGGTTAGGGGTCCTCCCGGGCCCAGCACTCGGCAGGCACACAAACCAAATTTGCTGAGCCGATGTCTGCAGAGGCTGCAGGCGGGCGGGAGAATGCACACAGGGCTGAGGGGCATGGACAGGGTGAGCATGGAATACAAGCCCCCGGAGGGAAGAGGAACTCAGTGCTCAGTGGGAACAGGCTCAGGTGCAAAGACAAATGTTTCCAGTGACTGAACTATGTGCACTTGATTTTAGAGAATTTTTGTGGTATTTTGTTGGTTTTAGGGATTTCTAAGAGGTAATTGTCACATAGAGATGGTTTTCCTTTTACAAAACTTAATGGTATTAAAGTTAAAATCCTGACCCTCCCCCCCCAAAATAAAATAAAATGAATTAAAATAAACCGCTCCAGTTAAAAGTTATGGCTTCAGTTATCATATACCTAAGATACGCTGACCAAATCCCCACCCACAGCAGGCTTCCAGAGTCCGTAACTACCACGCCTGGTCAAACAGCACAGCCAGCTCGGCGCTCCCTCCAGTGTGGACCCTGAAGCATGTGAATCGCTCATTTTCTCTACCCTGATCAGAATCCAGTACAAGAAGGCCCATGCAGATGCCTCTGTCCCCCCAACCTCCCTCCCCACCCCCTGCGGCCCATCCCTCCCCACCCCAAACCCACCACCGCCACCACCACCAAAAATATACACTGCGGCTTGCAGAATCTGGGGTGGGACAGACAGATGTGACATTCCAATCCGAGTCCCAAGATCTGGCTTGGGACTCCTCGGCCCTTCCTCCCGGCTGCTGAGGAAGAAGCCCTTGGGCTGGCTCGTTCTCGAGGCTGATGCTGAAACACAACCCAGGCTTCCTGACATTCTTCCCCTGCTTTTCCCGCCCCAACGCCTCTCCTACCACGGACTCGTGGGCCAGCTTTGGTTGTGGTGTGAAACGGAGAGGAGAGCCGTGACACAGGGTGGACAGGCAGCCTGCTGGGAAGAGGGCCTGAGACACGAGACCGTCAGGAGGACACCGGATGCTGCTCACTGTGACAGCAGCAGCGGCGGCACTCGGAGACAGCAGGCCACCACACCTGGCCTACACATGCACAAAAAGCTCCGCAGGTAAGTGTGCACCTACAGACGCGCGCGTGCGCGCACACACACACACACACACACACACACAGTTACTTGCACACACATGGGCGTGGCACAGACCAGGCACAACGTGGGACACACCTCGGCACATGCACACCGGGCTGGACAGGCAGGCAGCAGGTTGTGTCTCTAGGGCAGTCCCTCAGATGTCCACCAGGAGAAGGGGAAGGCGTGGCTCAGGGCTGCCTGTGGGAGGGCGGTGACACTCTGGTTTCTCTGAATACCCTGGTGCCAGCTGACTGGTCCCTGGAGGAAAACCTGCAGCCCAGGGGACCACAAGGACAGGGGCTGCTCCTGGGAGCCCAGCGCCCGCCACCACTCCTGGCTACATGCCAGGTGCACTGGGCTTTCTCTACTTCCCACCGCAAGCAGTTTGAGTCGTGGCATCGAGTTTTCTACATAATTTTCTCTCAGAGTCTCCATGCCACCAGGAGGTAAATAGAAAAAGTGTCTGTGTCTCAAACCCAATGTGGGAGTGTGTGCATCTCCCGGCTCTGTCCCTCTTGCAGGCCATGGCTCTGGCCAGAGGGCTGGGCAGAAACAAGAGGTAGGCCTCCACGCCACCTGCCCGGGGCTACAGCCACCCTCACTGCCCAGGGTGTGTGAGGCGGAGCAGCTTAGATCTTCACGTCTTCCTGCACGCTCAGCTGGGACAGCGTCTTCTTGATGCGCAGCGCCGTGAGGCGGGCGGCGCCGTTGGCGTACCAGCACTCTCGCATCATCTTCCCCATCACCCGCAAGGCCTGCGCAGAGAAGCCCACAGTGACTTGCAGGCCGGCCAGGCCAGCCCACCCCGCAACGTTCTGCACACTTTCTGCCTAGGCTTCTTCTCCGTGAAGGGGCAGGTGAGCCAGGAAGGGGAGGCGGCCGCCGCAGGCTGGCTCTTTCACCTCACTCTCAGCCCCAAGGCGCCCAAGGTACTTGGGAAATGCTGCCTTCTTATGCAACCACAATGGGTAGCTGAAATGTGAGCTCATGACCATGGCAGGACACCCCCTAGTGGCCAGGCTCCTTAGAGGTGGAGGCGGGCTCTCCCTCCACACAGGAGAGGAGGCCCTTTCCCTCCAGTGCCCAGACTTAGCAGAGCTGTGCCACCCAGAGCAGACTTCACTTGCGCTTAGCTTAGCACAACCATGGAGCAGGTAAGTCACAGATGTGCTCCGGGCTCTACTGTGGTAGGCGTCGGAAAATCACAACCTACTCTAGATGGGACGCCAGCACATTCAAATGCTGGGTGTGCTTGTTACATGAAGCTGCACAAACAAAGAAGAGAGGCGATGCTGTGGGTGAAAGGGGACCCTGTGCCCTTCAGCTTCCCGGGCCCCCAAACCCCATGTTGGTTAGGGACCTGTCACCAAACTCTCATTTCAGTCACCTCCCCACGCCACGTGCCTCAAGACCCTCCTCCTAATCCAACCCTTCACCTTCCTCCCTCCCACCCCTCTTCTGTCTCCGCCTGCCTCTTTCTGAGGCACCAGTTGGAAAGCCATGCTACACCACCCCAGCCTGTGGCCACAGTTTTCTAGTTTGACAGACTGGTCTGCAGGGCTTGAGGTGGACCCAGGTCTTGCACTGGCTCCACCCCAGGGCAATTCTGACAGGCACACCAGTACTGTTCACTTCTGTTTCTGTCCTGTTGACTCCCTCCCTATGGCAAGGAATGCTTTTCTTCTAGGCTATCACTTCCAAGGACCACTCTATAAAGGCCAGAAAAGTGACTGTAGCCACAGAGGACTCCGTGTGGAACAGCACAGAGTGACCCTCACATCTGCGATGTGGGGCAGAGTCCTTTCAGGGCCCGCCGTGCCCGCAGGTTTGTCTGTTCGGGCAAGGGACTAGGACCAATTTTGGACAGAAACTCACTTATACGTCTTATCTACCTTCTCCTCACGGCCTGAAAGTGGCTTCGTGTAATATTTTCCATGTGCCTGCGTGTGCCTCAGCCACCACACGAGGCCAGGTGTGGGCTTTTCTAGTTGTAGCGCCATGTTAATGATGAAAAAGTTTTACACTTTGGATTTACAGACAAAGAGTATACTCAAAAGGCAAGCCTGGGAATTGGCCCGTTAGAAAAATACACATCAACAAGAAAAACCACTCTATTTCCTAATAGAGGAAGCTGGCAATGAGGACGCCACCATGTCGCACAGGCCCCCACCGCGGCCCCTACCTCATAGCTCTGCCACCAGTTGGGGATGTTGGGCCGTAACCTCTGGTCACAGACGACCTTCCGCATTTCCTCAATGGACGGGTCGGAGGGCACCAGGTCATAATACGGCAGTTGGTACTCTTCATGGACTCCTGGGAGAAAAGAACAACCCAGTCACCCAGAGGAGGAAGACAACCACGCCTGAGCTGTGGAATGACTTCACGAAAATGAGCCCGGCTCCTCTGGAGGCCGCTGACTCCAGGCACGGTGACACGGCATTCTGGGCCTCCAGTTCTGGACACGGGAGGCTGAGCAGAGCACTGCCACACTGGTCCCACAAGCCTGCCTCAGAAAAACCAAACCAAAACCCAGCTGACAAGCACAGCCCAAGTTAACAACAACAAAAAAACACAGACAGTGTCAGACTCCAGGGCCACTTGAGCATTTCCCAACTGACCAAGCTGAGGAAATCTAAGACTAAGCAATCTGACAGGAGGAGTTTTTTTAATTTTTATTTTATTATTTATTGTATTTTGAGACAGGGTCTCTCTACGTAGGCCCCGCTGTCCTGGAACTCACTAAGTAGACCAGGCCAGAAATGAAGTCAAGCTCCGCCTGCCCCAGCATGTCAACCCTGGGAGCGGGAACAGCGTTTGTGACCTCACCAGTTCATAAGACTGCTGGAAGGAGAGAGCTCTGCCCCCTCTGGGTACCACGAGGGAGCAGTTATTCTGAACCCTGAGTACCGGAAAGAAGCGCTGCCTCCCCGTACTTCCGCCTCCGAGCAAACATGTGGCGACAAACGTATCGGTGAAGCTGTCCTGTTAGTCTTCCTTCTGTGGTTTGAGGCAGGGCCTCACTATGCAGTTCAGGCTGGCCTTGAACCCACGGTCCTCAGCCTCAGTCTCTCAGGCAGGCTACGGGTACAGGCCAGCACACCCTGTGGCAGTCTGTCGTAAGAAGAGATGCAGCTAACTCACGGGAGATAAATGAATGAATGCTGACATGCTGCATTTTAGCCTCTAGCCATCTGGGGTTTGTAAACCATCACCCTGGCTGCCAGCATCACAAAGGGAGAACAACAACGTTCTGTACTTTGTATTAAAAGGCCAGATTAGGGCTGGAGAGATGGCTCAGAGGTTAAGAGCACTGCGTGCTCTTGCAGAAGTCCTGTGTTCAATTCCCAGCAACCACATGGTGGCTCACAACCATCTATAATGAGATCTGGTGCCCTCTGCTGGCGTGCAGTGTGCATGGAAGCAGAACATTGTATACATTATAAAATAAATAAATGTTAAAAGCCCAGACTAAAGACTAAAGCCCATGAGAGATATTTTCCCCAAACGAACAACAAAAAAAGTCCCCAACCTGGATGTGGGTCTGATAGGTCAAACTACCAATTCATAGAAGATGTCCGGAACAGGAGGCCGGGTGGACTCACCACCGGGTCACCAGTTAAGTCTAGTCTGGAAAACTATAGGACATTTGACTACATTCTCCAAAAAAAACTAAAGTAAAGAGAGGAAAGAAAAAAGGAAGGAAGGAAACTCGAAGGCTGCAGAGACTTCAGAGATGCGCTGACGCAGTGATGGCTGCCCGCGCCTGCACGTGTGAGCTCAAACCCAGAGCCTCCCTCTCTCAAGGCAAGCCCTCTCCTGAGCCACACCCTGCAGTGTCGTCCTGCTTGAGACAGGCCCTGCTATCCAGGCCCACGCCAGCCTCAGGCTCTCAGCGCTCCTGCCTCAGCCTCCAGGCGCTGGGACTGTCTGTGCACCACCCGGGCCACAGGCCAGTGCTCTGCCGCCGAGCTCCCACAGAGCCTTCTGCTAGTAATCCTCGTGCTTCAGCATCCCAGGGTCCACGTTTGAGAGCAGCTGTAGCATGGGGAGCTCTTACCCTTTAGATTTAGATAAGAGAATTCATAATAAAAAGTCGAGAACGCCAAAGCTAGGCACAGTGGTGTCCGCCTGTAATACTCGTTCTTAGACCCACGACAGGCCGAGGATTCTACTTCAGTCTGGAGTGGAGTGAGCCAAATGGACTGTTCTCACTTTTGTCCCCGTTCACACAGAACAGCAGCCCCCGCCGCGCCGCTAACGGGACCCGCTGCCGCACTGGGATATACTACATATTTGCTTCTGTTTCTTGAGACAGAGTCTCACGCAGCCATGGTTGGTCTTAAACTTCTCACTCCCCTCTCTCCACTTCCTAAGTTGGCTCCCATTCCCAGTCTTGGCAATATTTATTTTTCTTATTTTTGTTAATTTATTAATTTTTACTATTTAATTGTGTGTGTGTAATGGGGAGGGCAGTGCACAGGTGGGGGTCAGAAGACGACCTGCCGGAGTTCGGGCTCCCCTACTTTGGGTTCTGGGGCTTAAACGCAGGTTTTCGGACTTGTATACTTCCGAATCATCTTGCTAGCCCTGAGGTCAGATTTATTATTTGTTTCTTTATTGGTTTTTCAAGATAAGGTTTCCCTGGCTGTCCTGGACTGGCTCTGTGGCCCAGGCTGGCCTCAAACTCAAGAGATCCGCCCGCCTCTGCCTCCCGAGTGCTGGGATCACAGGCGCGCCACCATGGCTGGCTGGTAAGAGCTCTTCATTTATGTACTTTAGAGCATGTCTTTCTCTTTACTTGTGTAGTGTAACTGTGTGCGGGTCCCGAGAGGCAGGAGAGGGCGCCTGACTGGTGCTGGAGGCACACGTGGTCACCTGACCTGCGAAGGTGGACAAATGCTGGCCCTCTGCAAGAGCAGCGAGTGCGCCCAGCAGCCGAGCTGGCTCACCAGCCCCAGGAGATTTATTCTTAGATTAAGGGCTGGAGAGCGGATTCAGAGGTTAAGAGCACTGGCTGCTCTTCCAGAAGTCCCGAGTTCAATTCCCAGCAACCACATGGTGGCTCACAGCCATCTATACTGAGATCTGGCGCCCTCTTCTGGCAAACAGGTGTACATGCTGACAGAACACTGCATAACAAAAAAAAATCTTTTTTAAAAAGTATATTGCTAAGAGTTACATCTCTCTGCCTCTGTGGAGCCAAGAGCTGAACTCATGCCTCGGCCTGTCAGAGTTCCAGCTCATAGCCTTGCACAGATGACTTGATCGCCCCTGACCCGTGTTCTTCATCTACAGCATGAGGACAACACTGGAGTCTCCCTCTACAGCTTTGCGGTGAAGCCGTGAACCGAGGACATGCAGCCCGCAGTGAAGAGACACCCCAGTTAGCACATATGCAGCCCGAGTTGCTGCTGTCAGGAAGCAGACACCTGCTGTGGAAGCCATCCGGGAAGAGCTAGGAACACGTCTGCAGGGCAGTACAGGATCCTGGGGGGCACCACAGCCATCCAGGCCACCCCAGGGCTCCGGGTCCAGGGAGAACGCTTGTCTCAGAACCACATGGAGAACCTCTGGCTTCCACGTGCACACACACACGCGCACACACCTATGGGAGCAAGTACCCACTCACACACACAACCAGCTTTTAAAAACACCCACGGCAATTTTCTTCTCGGAAAAGGGCTGCCGGGGCTTACGCCAGACACACCAACATAGACACACTACGCGCTGGGCGGCACGGCCACGGAGCTGCACCCCAGCTTCGCTGGGCCATCCTGATGAAATTGAGGAGGCCCGAGCCCATGAGTAACATGTAGGGTCTCCTCCATTCCTTGGGTCTAACCACACATCATGGGCAGAAAAGGCAGAACAAAAAGAGGGCCGAGCAGAAAATCTACCAGCTATTTTTACCTCACCACTGCCACTGCCCTGGACCTTTCGGCAGAGAGGAGAGGCTGAGGCGGGGCTCTCCAGGCTCTGGACCATTCTGTCAAGATCCACCTGGCAGAATGTTTGGAGGCCATCCTAAAACACCAGCACAGCCGGGCGGTGGTGCTGTACCCCAGCACTCAGGAGGCAGATCTCTGAGTTTGAGGCCAGCCTGGTCTACAGAGTGAGTCCAGGGACAGCCAGAACTCCGTAGAGAAACACTGTCTAAAAAAAACAAAAACCAAACCAAACCAAAACTACCAACCAAACCAAACCTGATATAAGCTGACAAGAAAAAAAGTGATTCAGCTAAATCTGATGCTTTCTTTTCATCAGGTCTCACATGAGCAAGCAGCCACACTGTAGGTTCTTTTCTTTTAAATTATGAAAAACAAACAAACAAACAAACCAACCAACCCCCAAGTTTCAGAAAGTCCTAAGCACTACTGCCAACCAAGCAGGACTCCCCAGAGATGTGGCAGGGGACACGTCAGAACATGGTGCCTCTGACAAGACCGAAGCACTAACCCTGGCCCGTGTGTATCCTAGGAATTCTCCTGCCCTGTGAGTTAGCACAGTGAGTGAGGGCAGAGAGATGGAGGAGGGAGGAAGCAGAGAGAGGGAGAGAAGGCGTGTGCATGTGTGTAGTGTGTACGTGAGTGCGCCTGTGTGCTGACCCAGAGCGCTTGTCACACAGAACCACACTGTTCAACATCCGGTCCCAAGGCTCGGGATACGGAAGAGTACTGGGCAGCGCGACAAAGGCCCAAGTTCAGCCCAGCCCCACGCAGTGAGCACACCGCCACGCTGCCTCCAGGACTGTGGCTGTGCACTCCCCCACTGGCTGGGAGGAAGGGGGAACTAACGCCAGGGGTGACCGTAACTCGGAAAGCCAGGGCCGGAGCAGGACGTACCTCCCGAATTGCACCTCCGAGCAATCTCCCAGTACACGAGGCCAAGGGCGTAGATGTCGGCACACTTGAAGGAGTCGAAGTGCTTCATGTTGATGCTCTCGTCAAGGACCTCGGGAGCCATGTACCTGGGGCAGCAACAGACAGTCACGCATGGAACAAAGGGGCCGCTGTCTGATCAGCGTCCACCTAGAGGTGTGCATGTGTGAACATGCGGCTCTCTGGGGAGCAGGAGCACACCCATGTCTTCACTGCACGAGCTCTCTGGGCTCAAACGTGAACGTTTTGGCACGGATGACTTTTTTGGCGCCTGTCTGTCTTTCTGGGCACAGGGCATTGGGGAACCATACAGACAGTAAAGGCACGCGGCTACTGGAGCCTTCACTTCACTGAGGGGACAGGGCGATGAGGTGAGCGTAAGTCCATTCTGAATTCCTTATGTATCTTATTTGACTTCAGATGGGTGAAACTAATTCTAGACGTGATCGAAACCACGCTCCGTGACTCTGAGCAGTAATTGTGCGTAATTATATGATGTAAGATGGCCCACCTACACTTTGGAGTCTGGGTAGGTGCAATCTCAGGTCAAAAGGACAAGCAGCAGCAGCATAATGAACTCACTCAGACGCCCAGACCCTCTCTTCCTCCCGCCTCCACCCTAGGAGGTCAGCTCTGTGACATCTTTGGAAAGCAGGCCAGGGCCTCCCCGGCACGCAGGCGCCGACCTTGCTCTGTGAGCCTCCAGCACGGCGCTCCCGCCTCCTCCACAGCTGCACTGCAGCCAGGCCTGGTGCCTACCCTCCCAACGCTGCTCCAAAATCTTTTGTAGTTTTTTGTGTTTTGGGGACAGGTTTCTGTGTAGCCCTGGCTATCCTGGAACTTGTTCTGTAGGCCAGGCTGGCCTCAAACTTGTAACAGAGATCCGCCTGCCTCCGCCTCCCAAGCGTTGGGATCAAAGGTGTGCACCACCAAGCCAAGCCTCCTGCTCCAGTTCTTTGCCCACTGCCCTCCGCCCGGGCCGCAGCCTACACAGCTGTGGAGCTGTGTTCTTGGTGTGGTGCAGCAGTGAGAACATTCGCCACTCCCTGAGGGGAGACCCCCCCCCCTGCAGGCCCTCCTGTGTGTGTGCCCGAGTGCGGGCCGGGCCAGGGCCTGCTTACCGCTTGGTCCCCACCCTCTGATTTGGAGCAATGTCGATGGTGTCGGTGACGGCGTCGTGGCGCACAGCCAGGCCTAGGTCTGCAATGGCACACATGCCGTTCTTCTTCACCAGGATATTTTTTGACTTTAAGTCTCGATGAGCAATTCCAGGTTTCCCTGGCAGAGAAAAACCCAGCATGTTGAGGATGATGTATACAGGGAAACACACAGAATCGGAGCCAGAGTCTTGGGCCGAGGCCTGGCTTTGACCCCCTCAAGCCAATGACGCTGAGAAGCTTATACTTCTCTTACAGAGTAACGGTACTTCACAGGAATGTGACAAGAAAGAACACATGCCCAGAAGCAAAGAGCTCACAGTGACATGGTCGCTGCCTCACATTAAAATGTCACCACCGTTCACCAGCCCTGAAGAGCCCAGGCGGGCCAGGCTGACACAAGCTCCCAGGCTCCCGGCGCTGCGGACCACGGCTGCCGTGGCCCAGCAGTCATGCCATGGCCTGCCAGGCACCAGGTAACCGGGCATCAGGGATCAGCCCTGCTGCCTGGCATGGCCAGGAGCCAACAGTCCATCCAGCGCAAAGCCTGGGTCCTCGTCCAGGACCCGCAGACAGCTGGGCCCCACGTGTGGCCAGCACACCTCGTACAAGGCAGCATGCCCACCCTCAGCATGGGGTTCTGACACTCCTGCTGCTGGCCTGCTGTCTTTTCTCATTCCATTCTTTCACAGTGTACCCCAGAAACCGCTGCTCCTTAGCAAGCCTCTGTGGATGCTCACAGCAGCCATGCCCTCGCCTTACAGACCTCCCCAGGAAGGGCTAATGACAGAGCTGAAGAGGAAACCCCACTCAGCTTCTGCTCTTCCCAATACAGTCTGGCATTCTGTTTCTCAGGAGGAACCACTGTTCCCAAAGCTTGGCCCAGCCCCAGTGGGGAGGACCAGATAGGGAGGCGCAGGTCTCCGGGCTCTGGCTCCTGCTCCCTGGCTGGGCCCACCACTTACCCTGTGTGCCCACAATCTCCATATGCAGGTGTGCCAAGCCGCTGGCTGCGGACAGGGCCAGCTTAATCATGCCCTCAATGGTCACCGTGTACCGGTTCAGATAGTCAAACAGGGAGCCATGCTCGTGATAGTCAGAGACAAGCCACAGCTGGGTCCAGGTTCCATTATCTGCAGAGAACAAAGACAAGCTCTGCACAGAAGGAACTCCAGCAAGAAGGAAGAAGCACATGACATACGCAGAGAGCGGCAGGCTCAGGCAGACCCTGAATTTACACCCCATGCCTCTGCCCCTCAGGAAAGGACAGCAACAGCACTTCTCTTCTAGGCCTGTTCCCTCATCCAAGTGAGTGTTTTGAACCAGATGACCGCCCCAAAAGTCTTGGGCATTTGACCACTGACCTCCCGTTATCGGCTATCTGGGAAGCCTAGGAGGGCTGGGCCTTGATAGAGAATGCGTGTCACTGGGGCCGCCTCTGAGGCTTCAAAAGCCCTGCGCCATCACCCTGCTTGTAGTTCAAGATGTGGGCTCTCAGCTCCTGCCTCTGCTCCACCATCACAGACTCTAGCCCTCTGGATCCATAAGCACAAAGTAAACTCTTCTGTAACTTGCCTTGGTCATGGTGTTTTATTATAATAATGGTAATAATTATTATTTATTTTTATGTTTTAGGATTTTTTTTTTGAAACAGGGTTTCTCTGTGTAGCCCTGGCTGTCTTGAAACTCGCTCTGCAGACCAGGCTGGCCTCGAACTCAAGAGATCCTCCTGCCTCTGCCTCCCGAGCGCTGGGACTAAGGGTGAGCACCACCGCTGCCCAGCTTGGTCACGGTGTTTTATCGCGGGAATTAAACAGTGATGGAGACAGTGGAGAACTCTGAGCGGGAGTGAGGAGGACTCTAAGCAATACGCCACTCACTGCCAGGAGGGAGCCGTGCGCTTACAGAAAGCAATGGTGTCAGCGCCTCTACCCCAGCGACGTGAGCGCGTAGGGCTCCACCCACCACGGCCAGGGAAGAGGGGCCCTGTTCTAATCACGGGCCGGCCTGGCACCTGTCTCACTGGAAATGCTTCTTTGCAGTTTTCGGCCCTCCTTAGGCAGGGAGCCATGAGCAGAGCAGAGAGGTCGGCTTTGTTACAGAACCGAGCACGCCTTTCCACGCATGAGCAGCCACGTCCCAGCATTCCCACAAAGGCCACCGTGCCCTGCACAGCAGCAATGGCAGGTGGGCAGTATCACTACCCTTTCTTTTTCACACTGGGTGGCAGGAAGAAGGATGGGGGAGGGGCAGGAATCAAATCAGGCTAGGCCTGCCGAAGATTTGCTAGGAAGATTAGAAACTGGACCGAGAGCTCCCCAATTCTAGGCTGGTGCTATCTCCAGGCAAGAACAGTTTGACTTCCCTCCTTCCCTGGCCCTAACTCGGGCTTCACCAGCCACCCAGCTTACACAAGCTGCCAGAATCAACAGAGCACGCTGCTGGAAATGGCTGAGCCTTGGCACCTCTGATGCCAGCAAGGGCCACACTAAACAGCTTCCTCAGGACCCACTGGCTTTCTAGAGGACGGTTCTGAGCCTTTCAGTGACTCTACGAGGGTTAGAAAAGCAGTAGCTCCCTCAGACGGCTGAGACTCTCCCCGCTGTGTTAGAACCCAGGAGTCTCTAGCATGGGGTCAGTGAGGGCCGTCACCAGCCCCACAGCCCCGTGAGGAATGAACTCAGTCAGCACTTCCCACAGGCGCTGCGGGCCCTGGCCTCTGAAGCCGCTGTACCACACCGAGCTTTGTCATAGCCGCCAGAGACTTGAGAACAGGACCGGGCTCCCTCCTCATTTCTGGGCTGCAGGAACTCGGCTGCCAGATGTCCGTCCCCTCTTCCCCAGGACCTCGGTGTAGGCCGGCTATGGAAGATCTGAGAGGCTGGGCTCCAGCCCGCAGAGGCCAACAGACGCCACTGACGTAATAAACAGCCTTCTAATCACTATCCCTGCCCTCCATCATCAGCTGGTAAAGGATGAGGACGTGAGCTCAGATCCCAGTAATCATATAAAATCAAGCGTGACACACGCTCCTGTGACACCAACACCAGACTGGGTGTAGAGACGGCTGGATCATAGACACTGGCTGGCAGTTGGTCGAACCAATTAGTGAGCTCTGGGTGTGAGACGGGACTCAAAACATAGGGCAGAGAATAATACAGAAAACAAGACACTGACTTCTGGCCTCCACACACGCAGACACGTGCACAGACACACACACACACACACACACACACACACACACACACACACACACGCACACGCACCTGCACACACATGCACACACAAGCCCAGCATAACCTGGTCTATGGCCACCCCTCCCCTGCTTCTCCCATGATATCTGCAGAATCCCAAACACACGCCACCTCTGCATACACACACAGAGCTTTCCTTTCTGTCCGGTTTTTGCTGCTTTTGTCTCAAGCTCATGTGACCTGCTTCAATCTAAGCTCAGCCAGGCTGGCTGGCACCTGCCTCTTATCATCATCAGCATCTCAAAACACGGATATGCCTGGGCACACGCAAAAGACTCAGAGCTGCAGCAAGGCAGCCAGGTGTGCTCCGTACACCTATGAATCTCACCACTGGAGAGGCCAAGACAGAGCACTACATTTGAGACCAGGCTGGACTGCATGGCAAGACTACCTCAACGCCAACCCTCCTAACAAAGACCCAAGAAAAGAGGGAGGGGAGGGGGATCAGCAGCAGCACCACCACCATCATCACCACCTCATCACCACCACCATCACCATCATCATCACCACCATCATCATCACCATCATCACCACCATCACCACCATCATCACCACCATCACTACCACCACCACCATCACCTCCACCATCATCACCATCACCATCATCATCACCACCATCATCACCACCACCACCATCACCTCCACCATCACCACCATCATCACCACCATCATCACCACCATCACCACCACCACCACCATCACCTCCACCATCATCAACACCGTCACCAGCAGCAGCAGCAGCAACTCAGGGGTCTTAGGTATAGAACAGGCCAAAAACTGAGTCTTACAACTAGGAGGTGTCACTGTGTGGAAGGTGGCCTTGGCCCTTCTGGGGCTGGACCAGGACAAGTGTAGATAGTACTGGTTGTGCTGCCGAATGTCAACCGAATGCTTTTGTCACCATTCTTTCCCGGAAGGGTTAGAGCATAATTTCTTACTGTAGTGACTTTCAAAAATATGGGACTCCCCACAGGGGCCACACTGCGTGCAGGTCTGAGAGCAAAGAGCCTGTAGGTGCAGGTGGGGTGAGGCTGGGGCCTCTTCCGCCACCAGTAACCCCCATCTCCCTGTGAGTTGCTCGGCATAAAAGGTCCCACACTTTAACACGTTTGAGACTGCGGTCTTCCTCTCTCCTGTGTGTGTGCGCACGCACACCTGTGAGGTGTCGTCGCGCCCCTCCCCCCCCCAGAACACCGCTGTACCTTTATTGTCAGCAGCAATGAATCCCAGGATGTTCTCATGGCGGAGCATGACTGTCTGGTAGATCTCCGCCTCCCGGAACCAGGAGCGTTCTTCTCGGGAGGAGAAGATTTTCACGGCCACGTCACCACCCCTCCAACGGCCCCGCCATACTTCCCCGAAGCGGCCCTTGCCGATGATCTCTTGTAAAACAATGGTTCGGGCCACCGTGCGCTGGACAAACAGGGGTAGCCCTGTGGGCAAAGAGCAGAGAGAACGCTGACTGCCAATCCGCAGATTAGGAGCCTGACACTCAGAGCGCATCTCCAGAAAGGCCTGAGCACGCGCTGGCCACGCTCTGTTCCAGCGGCCACAGAGCGCTACAGCAAGGCCAGCACCTTGGGTGGGTGGCCAGCAGGCTAAGCGCAGGCCAACACAGAAAACGAGCAGCTAGCTGCCTTTAGCCACTTCACTTAGAACTTCCTCTGCAGTCTGTGCGGATGAGAAACTTTGAGTGTAAATCTTTGACAAGATTTGTCAACTCCCCGGTGTCTGCTTTCTTCTGATGGTAACAGAAAAATTAAGAGTGGGGCTCAGGAGCTGGGCACTGCCTTTCTGGCCACCCTGCTCACTGGCCACTAGAGGGCAATGCTGTGTGGCCGCCAGTGGTCCCGAGGTCTAAGCACACGGGTACTGGCTCTCCAGAGCTCTAGGCACAGGAAGCTCCAGGCTAGACTGGGAACTACCCACGTTAACTCAGGCCTCGGTTTACTGCTGTGTAGGCTCATCACTGCCTTCACTTTGACTCATTTGGTATCTCTCTCCCTCTCTCTCCCCCTCCCCCTTATCATCATGACTGACTTTCTTCTCCTCCCTCTCTGGACTAAGTAACAGCTGCTAGTGACGCTGGTCTGCTGGGCCCAGCGTCCAGCAGAGGAACGCGGGTCTATGCCAAGGTCTACACAGATCACACTTCTTTATGTTCACTAAGGCAGGCAGTGATGCCCACCGCACAGATGAGAAAACCAATACGGCTAAAAAGGGTGTTACGTAACTCACCCAGATGAGTGCAAACAGCAAAAGGCAAGGCTGGAATTAAAATCCAGGGCTGACTCTACAGTCCCTGCTTTCAGCTACACTGGACAGGGCTGCCAGCTTCTCCAAGCAGGCCCCTCCTCCCCTCAGCTTGTGCCCTGTCCTGCTCTGCCCTTCTCAAGGACTCCCAACTCTTCTTTCCACCTCGCCTCACCCGGCCACTGCCCCCCACACCCACGCGCAGCCCTGCTCCACCCCACCCTTTCCAACAAGAGGCTGGCAAGTGAGCGGGTACAGCCTCCACGCCATCGCCCGAACTTCACCCAAAGGAAAAAAGTGAGTGTTCGCTTGTCCACATGACAACTTCTGTGCAAGCTCTGACCGGCAAACAAAGTGTGGCGGCACAGCCCTGATACCTGGCCAGCCGGCCTCTGCCCTCTCCAGGCACACCATGCCTGTCTCCTTGTGAGTCTTTCAACAGACCCTGAGCCTTCCTGGCTTTTTGTTCTTTGCATCCAAAGTCTGCTCCGTGGCCTGGAATGGTCCCTGCTTGCTCACCTTGCTCACAGTCTCAACCTTTTCTTCCAGACTCCCTCAAATGTGACAAGCCTGTCAGCCTAGCACAGGCTAGCCCCACTTCCTTAAAGGTCTTTGTTTCCAGAGGGCATTCAGCATTCATTTGTTAAAAAGACCCAGGGTCCTAAAGAACATGAACTTACGACTTTAAAGACAGCATTGTTAAGACCCCAATGCCTAGGCTAGAGAGATGGTTCACTGGTTAAGAGTGTACACTGGGTCGGGTGTGGTGGTGCTTTCGGGAGGCGAAGGCAGGTGGATTTCTACATAGTTTCAGGCCAGACAGAGTCACACAGTGAGACCTGGTCAAAAAAGGGAGGGAGGGACGGAGGGAGGGAAGGAGAGGGAGAGGGGGAGCGAGAGAGAGAGAGAGAGAGAGAGAGAGAGGCACAACTGTCTCTCCAGAGGACCCAGGTTCAGTTCCAGCACCTACTTCAGAAGGCTCGCAAAGTCCAGTTTCAATGGATCTGCCATCTCTGGCCTCCAAGGGCACCTACTCACCTGTACATGCCTGCTCCCCCCATAATTAAAAACAAAACTAAACTAAACTAAAAAAAGACCAACACCTTGGAAGCTCTGTACACTCTATACCAAAATGGGCTGAACCAGCCACAGAGACAGCCATTAACCACTTTTGTCTAGACAAAATGTTCACCAAGATCCGCTAACCCCACCTGGCCTGAAAGCTACAAACTCCCAGGGCCTAAGACTACTTTTCCCAAGCACTGCTGGGCACTGCCCTGCCTTTGGTGGAAAAGCACACGGCAGATATTTTCTAGGCTTCTAAAAATGTGCAGCTTTTAAATATATTCATGCTGGTGTGCTCTACTGCCTGCTTCACAGAGCCAAAACCACAGACCTTGCAATGTCACAGGACTCCCGTGTCTGAGGGCGTCTGGCATGACTGATGGTACAACTTCCTTGCTAAGCAGTCTAGCCCATGGCAGGGAAACACGGAGCCACAGTGAGACCCCTGTGTCAGCTGACACAGCCGCGCGTCCTCTGGGGGGACTTCTGTGCTCCAGAAGCACAGACTGGCTCCATGGCTCCACCTTCATTAGAACAGCAGCAGCATACATCCTTTTCGGCACACTCACATCTGAGTGCTAGCTGGGTGTTTGTGTAGTGCAGGGAGGCCTGATACTTGCTAGGTAGCCTGTACTGGCCTTGAACTTGAGGCAATTCTCCTGCCTCAGCCTCCCCAGTGCTGGGATTTTAGATGATTCAGCAATGTTCTACCACATTCAGATATTTGATTTTTTCTGGTTTTGTTAACTGAGCTATTTGCTGAGACAACCTCAGCTCTCTCCATACTGAGTTCTGGTCTCATGTCAAGGCCCAATGCTGAGTGCAAGCCTCAGGTAAGAAAGCCCTGGACAACAAGAGGCACCACAGGAAATGGAGGCCGAGCTCTGCAGGAGGCCCCGCGGCCTCCAGATAGCTCAGCACAGCCATGGGCAATGGGAGTCAATCATTCACCAGGCCTGCAACTCTCAGCTTCGCCTGGTGTCCTCAGACTCCCCCGTGGCTGCTCGGGGGTCAATGATTAGCCGCCAGAGCCTCGCAGGAACCAGGCACACTCCTGTTTCTCAAAAGGGGCCTTAAACTGAGCATGCCACCACCCCACAGGGAAGCAGCGCACTCTCCATAGACACGCAGCTACAAACCCTGAAGAGAGGCAGAGCTGCTGCAAAAGGAAGTTTTGCATTGACCTCTGGAATCTCGGGGAATGAGAGATTTTCAGTGGGGCCATTATCACATCTTATTCCATGTCAGACTCCAGATGAAGAGAATTATGAAAACAAATGACTCAACACAGCAGGCCCTGGTTTCCTCGTGAACACCCTTTCCTGCTGGGAACTACCTGTGAGGGCCGACACACATGGTGCCTGGAGAGCCCAGTACCTGAGCCAGACCCCGACGTGGACAGGTCATAGACAAGGTCCTGGAGCGTCTTGTCTTTGGAAAGACACATCTCGCAGGACGGGTCCTCCATGTCCAGTCTCTGGCGGTTGTGGTACACACGCTGGTGATAGTTGATGACAAGGAAGACGATGATGATGATGAGGAACAGGAGGAAGACGGGGCCAGCGATGATGCCCACCAGCTCCACGGGGCCCCACATGGAGGGGTGCTCGGGCTCCTTGAGGTGTCCTGAGAAAAGAGCAAAGTGAGGAAGACAGTGAAAATGAGAGACTGCTGTGGCCCAGTTTATCCCTGAACTGGGCTACCCATAAAAGACCCTCAGCTGCGGGTTTCCTCTGCTCTCCCTGCACTGGCTTGTGCCTTGGTGCTCTCAAGTGTCGCCTTGCTGTCAGCAGAACCAACCCCTCTCTGGAAGTCTAAGGCACGCAGAATTGCTGGCTTGGCTCAATCTCTTCCACGCTCTGCTCAGTCTTTCCCCAAAAAGACCGGACAGAAGGCAGGGCTGCCGGAGGTGTCCACTGGCAGCCTGTCTAATTCCAGCCTTTTCGCACCGTTCGTCCTGTCCCTGGAGCAGACCCCTGTCTGGGCTGTGCTGCCACGGCCCTCCACCCCTCGGGTGCCTGGGAGCTCCCCTGCTGACAGGAGAGCTGCTCTTCTCTCCTCCAGGCCTGACTAGAGATGAAGCCATCCTCCACTATGCCCCCAAGGAAATCCCAACACAACCCTGAGCCATCGCTGAGCCAAGGGCTGGGAAGCAGTGGAGAAAGGCAGGACGAGGCGCCCTCCCTGCGCGTGAGGCGACCCCCAGCATGCACCCACCGCTGGGCACGCGGAGGTCGATCCTGTTGCAGAAGTCGGCGTAGCAGCAGTGCGTGTTGCGCAGGTCCTCTGAGCTCAGGCAGTAGAAGGGCTTTCCGGCGGGGACCAGCTCCTCCCTGGGGATGCAGGTGCGCACGTGGTGCTCCATGCCGTCCAGGTTGAAGATGGAGACCATGCAGGCCCCGTCCGTCTCACACGAGTAGTTGCTCTGTGGGCAGCTGGTGCACGCACACAGCAGCGCTGCGGGACACGGAGGAGCAGGGTGTCGAGGGCCTGCAGACAGCTGTGCCGGCTGCCTCTGCACTTCAGCTCACAGGCAAAGCTCTGTAGGCCCCACTGCTCCTCACTGCTCCTCACGATCCTGCTGGGCAGGCGGAGGCTTCCCCTTGGAGAGCAGGTACCCCCCAATCCCACACAGCGCTCCCCAGATTCCTTGAGGCGCCATTCCATCTTCCTGGGCTCAAGGCCCCCAATTTCCAGGATGATGATGCTCTCATACCTCCTCTCACTACATTTTTTCTGCCTAAATCCTTCAAAATTCTGCTCAACCACCACTCCTTCTGAAACGCTTCCTCTCCCCCTCATCACCTCCTCCCTTTAGGACACGTTTGGTGGCCTCTCCCGAGGGCCAGGAGGGTGCTCTCCACAGAGAACTGGAATGTTCACCTCACAAAGTTACTGTGAGGACAAAATGAGATCACGCACATCAAGCATTTAATAAATTTAACCATCCGGAAAGGCCCCGGAGCAGCACTGGGCATGCAAATGTACACTCCTGTGTGTGCTACGCACACACTTTTTTCAAGTAGGCAGTACACACAATTGCCCTGGAGCTAACAAGTTCTGCTGGGCAGGTGTCACACGTAGTGTGTGCACCAACAGGAAGCCAGAGTGAATGAGTTTGGCGCCTCTGGAAGCCACTCAGCAGCCCTGGAATCTGCAGCCCTTTATTTATCTGACCAGCAAGAATAGCACAGACAGTTGGTGCTCTCGTGTCTCCCCCAGGCCTAACCCAGCCCTGACCTCCTGGGACGGGCAGGAATGTGGCGTTGGCCACAGTACCAGCTGGTCCTCGAGGCGTGGGACAAGGCACTCACCACCAGGGGGCAGAAGGAAAGGGTGCGACACCTTTGGGGCATGCCCTGAGGGAGGGCCTGCACACTCAGCCTCCATGGCACACTCAGTGGGAGGGCCTGCACACCTAGCCTCTGTGGGAAAAAGGCTTGCGACCAATGCAAACAAAAGCCTAGGCTACAAGAGTTTATCTTCGTCTCCTCATTTAGTCTCTGAAAAGTTATCCCTCAGCTCTGCAAAGCCAAAGCCAACCCAAGCTGCTCAGAGTGTCTGCACATGAGGCAAGGTCTTTGCTGTTCCCATTCAAGGACACCAGGACACGGGCCATGAGGAGGGAGGAGCGCGAGGCAGCATGGAGGCAGCATCGAGACAGGAGGGTAGATGGAAGCCTTCCTCGCAGGGCTGCTGTGTTTTCACGGGGTTTGAGATCGCTATCTTCTGAGATGAATTCCCCAACATGCAGCTACCTGTGCGCAGCTGGGGTTACACTATTCCTCACAGGCAGAGCACGGGGCACAGGCAATCATGATCATGAAAGAGTTCACAGCAAGCTGTCCCCAGATCGCACGTCTACCTTCTGGTCTCAAGAGGAAAAAAATCTTCCTCAAATCTTGCATTTGAAAATTCTCTCATTCTGTTTTCCTCTGTTTGCTTGTTTGTTTGAGACAGGGTTTCACTAAGTGCCCCAGCTGGCCTTGAACTCCTTCCTCCTGCCCTACAGTGCTGGGCTTACAGGCCCAGGCCACTAAGCCAGGCTCTGCCTTACTCTCTTAAGAACTTAGAATTTATTCACATCTCAGCAAACTTGGCAGGACTCCTCTCTTCCTCCAGGAGTCCTGCTAGTCCAAGAAGGCGCCCTGTTGGCAGGACCCTCTTTTCTTCCTCCAGGAGTCCGGCTAGTCCAAGACGTCGCCTTTGACAGTTCCCTTTTGTGTCCCTCAGGGGTTCCCCACAGGGAGCACACCTCTCAGAACCCGTGTTGTGACGTCTGGCAAAGAGAACAGCATTGGGTCTATTTTGGGAAGCAAGAAAGGGAAAATTAACAACTTCAAGAGATGACTATTCTGAGCTGGGTGAGACACACGGCCAAACCCACAGCCGCCTTTTCAGAGCAGCCACTCCACGGTCCGTCAATTAGTGGGAGAGGAGTCAGGAGTCTCTGATTCCTGATAGTTATTCTCCTGGTGGTGGTGCTGGCCTCGTTCAGTGATTCACTCTGGAGAATGAACACACCCACACGTGGCTCATTATTTTTGGGAAGTACTGAAACAATCTTGGTGTAAGACAGGAAAGAACAAAAGTGGCGAAATCTTTGCACGAAGGGGCTGAGGAGAAGCTGGGAAACGGGCCATGTGGCTTTGTGATAAGCGGCTGGGTAAGTCCCTGAGCCTATCTGGGCCTCGACTGCCTAACCAGCAAACACCACTTATCTTACAGAGACAAGAGGGAAATTAGCCAACTGCCTGCTCAGCGCTGAGGCTCTCGAGCAGGGCTCACTCCGCCCACTGTGGGCATCTTTGCCCTTTACAGAGTGAGACACACTGAAGATAACCATCGCTACTACCCACCCTGACAAGACCTGAATTGACAGCTCCAGGAGTGACAGTGGCTATCACCGAGCAACGAGTCACAGAGCCCTGAATCGCAGACGCCTGGTTTAACACTAGCCACATGAGCTGGAGCTCACAATTAACCATACTGTGCCACAGCTTCCTTGGAGCCCTGTAAGACAGGGCTGTGAACAACTGGCTCACAGACCCTACAAACCCTGCACGTGGTAATAGGCTTTAAAAGAACTCAGAATAGGATGTGCTCAGTAAACACGAACCTCCCCTTTAATGTAAAAATTGAAAGAAAAAATGAGGAAAACGTCTCTTAACACTGCCTAGGAAGTGGTTAACTGCAGTCTCAGAAAGAAACTGCTCGCTCACTAAGTGGCTGCTCAGCTGCAAGCTCTCCAGCCTCTCTGAACCTCATTTTCCTCAGGATTAACCAGAAAACGGAAGTTAAGGAGATGACCTCCCAAGTCCTTCCTAGCTCTAAGCTTTCCTCTGGGTGGGCCTGGAGCACTGTCTCCCTCTGCTGCTGGCCTCATCTTTTTCCTTTTTTTCTAGACAGGGTTTCTCTGTGTAGCCCTGGCTGTCCTGAACTCACTTTGTAGTTCAGGCCGGCCTGGAACTCACAGAGCTCTGCCTACCTCTGACTCCCAAGTGCTGGGATCACAGGTGTGCCACTGTGCCCGGCTTGTCCTGGCCTCTAAAGATCTGTGTTTTTGCTCCTCATCTGCTAATATTTTTCACTGAAACCACTGAAACAAAAAGGCAATAATAAAATTATAAGCATCCTCTGAAACTTAGTATCCTAGTTTTAATTCTTTCTACAAAGCTAAATCTGGGTTAGTGACAACAGCCCCTTGTAATGCTTCACGGTGACTCATCAGGTCAAGCATCTGCACACGTGTGTGTCAACAACTTGCTAAAATGCTCCCTACTCTACCAGTAAGCATGCTCTATCAGGAGTTCTGCCCAACTCCCTCTGTGTGCAAACAAGCCAGGGAACAGGATTGCACTTAGCAGCACAGGCTGTCTAACCTGTGCAAGGCCACACTGCAGATGAGTGCGGGTGTGAAGAAAGAGGAAGGAAGGGAGGGAGGGAGGGAAGGGGTGAGGGAGGGAGGACAAAGGGGGAGGGAGGACAAAGGAGGAGGGAGGGGGTAAGGGAGGGAGGAGGAAGGGGGAGGGAGGAGGAAGAGGGAGGGAGGAGGAAGGGGGAGGGGGAGGAAAGGAAGGAGGGAGGGAGGGAGGTGGGAAGGAAAAGGAGGAAGAAAGGGAGGAGGGAAGGAAAGAAGGGAGGAAGGGAGGGAGGGAGTGGTTAGAACTGGAGCCTCCCTCCCAGCACACATTTTCTGTTATTAACGAGAGTCTAATTAGTCAAAACTGGACTGAAGACAAAGCCATCTTGGCGGGACTGGAGCAGGGTTCAAAGCCTGTCTGACTGGAAGGTGGTTTGTGGTGAGACATAAATGCAAACCCAATCAGAAGGCAGGCTGTTCTCAGAAAGGCCAAGTCCCACCTTGGGCAGGCTCCGGCTGCTGTGTGTCATGCTGCAGAGCCTCAGGAGGACACGGGTGCTCAGCCGGGAAGTCCCGGGAACCCCACAGAGCCAGAGCATCACAAGACACCGCCAGGGGATGCCCACACCCTCAGAAAGATAGGAGCAGGATGCACAGCACCCTGTACCGCCAGGAATCAGCCACCGACGCACCCCGTGGTTCCCGAGCCTGGAGCGACCCCGCTTAGCCTACTCCTTGGGAACTGCACATTTCATAGGCTGTGCGTGGCGCAGTCTGAGGGAGGCCCACTGAACCCCTCTTCCACGGCTCGCTGGCCTGGCTTAGGACTGGCGCGTGCAGGCTTCGTGCGGCTCCCACTCTGGTTTCTAACCTACACACTGTGTGCACAGCAGCAGCAGGACCTACACTCCTCCCCCGGACGCACCCAACCTCCCTACAGTGCTTCAGTTTACTGTGGATGTACGGCCAGGGGTGGTATCTGGTGGGTGTGCTGTTCTACAGGCTCATAGTTTAGAGACCAGGGCCTAAGGTGTGCTAGGTAAGACAGCCGTCACTCCTGAGCCACTCATGTGAGTTCAGTAGGGAAGAAACGACAGGCGCTGGCTCTCTGGCACTCGGGACTGCTCACCTCTGGTTGTTGGTACACTCGGCACAGCCACACTCTATTATTCTCCCAGGTCCTCCTCCTCAATGGGCCCCCAGAACTCAGTGCCTCCACTTTGTAAGAACAGGCCTTGGAGGAGGTAAGGGGCTCACAGACCCCATAGTTCCTAGAGTACCCACGGTATGCTCCAGTGTCCCTGGGACACTACCCAGAGATTCCTAATTTTCAGAACCACAGGAAACACCCTTCCACTAAACTCGCCATCCCGCAGACGAATCCCCACCCCACCAGGCCAAATCCACCCGACACTCCCTACTGAACACCGTCCTGAGTACACCTGCAGCTTGCTCCAGCCCGAGCCTTCTGTTGCCCACCAGCTGGTGGTGTAGCCAGCCATGCGACTTTCCAAAGGCAGGTCTGCATACACATGGAAAGCTCCTCCTTGTAGGTGTGGCTGGAGACGGAACTCACATGACACGTCAGCCTGGA